GAGCGGAGCAAGAAGACAATTAAGATGACGGCAGCCACACCAAAGACTCCAGGGAAAGGACCCACCCCAGCTCTACCAGAGGTAGAAAGGCTGGTTGGACTTTGACAAATTATTTTTTTAAATACATTTTTATTAGTGTGTGTTAGAGAATGTTTGTATGTCTGCGAGTATCCTCTATGTAAATGTGTGTGTCAGTGTCTTCTTTGTGCAAATGTGTCTGTGTCATTGCCCACTGTGGGCAAATGTGTAAGTGTCAGCATTATGTGTGTTTGTCTGTTAGTGTCTTTTGTGTGCACCCCCCACCCCCCTTTGAAAATGTGTGTGTGTTACATATTCATTGTATGACTTTTATACTTCAGACTAATATTTCATACACTCCTCCTTATATACACAAGGCAGGGGTACTTTTTTGTTGTTTTTGTTTTTAAACCTGCAGGGGTACTTCTCTTTAAAAGGTTGAGAAACACTGTTGTACATCAATTCCACACCTAAAGCAGTGAAAGAGAGATCTAGCAGACAAAGAAATCAAACTGTCCCCTTGTACACTAATCTGGACAATCCTGCCACTTTATAAAGAATAGTAAGTTACGCAAGTATAAAAGATTTAATGAAAAGCACTCCTTTGGTTTGTTCTGGTTTAGTTTCCTGCTTTGAATTAAAGGACCACTCTAGGCACCCAGACCACTTCAGCTTAATGAAGTGGTCTGGGTGCCAGGTACCTCTAGGATTAACCCTTTTTTTTTTTATAAACATAGCAGTGTCAGAGAAACTGCTATGTTTATACTGAGGGTTAATCCAGCCTCCAGAGCCTCTAGTGGCTGTCTCATTGACAGCCGCTAGAGGCGCTTGCGTGCTTCTCACTGTGAAAATCAGTGAGAGCACGCAAGCGTCCATAGGAAAGCATTGTAAATGCTTTCCTATGCGACCGGCTGAATGCGCGCGCGGCTCCTGCCGCACATGCGCATTCAGCCGATGACGTCGCGAGCAAGGAGGAGAGGAGGAGTACAGCTCCCCGCCCGGTGCTGGAGAAAGGCAAGTGTTTAACCCCTTCCTCTCTCCAGAGCCCAGCGGGAGGGGGTCCCTGAGGGTGGGGGCACCCTCAGGGCACTATAGTGGTCCTTTAACTGATGATGGAATAACTAGTATTATGCACATAAATCTCCACAACATGCTTCAAACATAAAATGTTCTAACAACATTCCATGGACTGGCCCTTTCCATGCTGACCAAGTAAAACCTAAGTGCCAGACACTACTGAAAGTATCCAGTGGCCACTTACTTCGTTTGTTTGATATGTGAGGTTAATTAAATCATTCCTACTGTTAAGTTTATAGTGAATACCGGACTAAGCGTTTTTAGTACTTGTTAAATATACGCCACTACCGATCATGCTATCATATTGTCTGAGCAACAATTTGTAAAAGTAGAAACTTCACTCGGCTTACTTAAATGAGTGTGACAATATAAAATCATAGTAATGGGCATAAAAATATGTATCTGCATCACCTGGTTATATACTTAAAGTTTGGTATATGGATTGAACATTTTCAAAATAAAATACTAACCTTTACAGACTGGAGCCCTTACAGAAAACAATTTGAGGAAATAAATACTCAAACATTTACATTAAAGAAAATTACATTCGCCGAACCCAGACTACCTTGCCAACTTCATTCCTACTGCAGACCTTCCTTTTTTAGACAAGGTCACCGAGAAGGTTGCTGTAACCCTACTGGAAACCTGGCTGTCAACCAATGCACTTTATGACTCACTCCAATCCGGATTTAGGAGACTGCACTGTAGGAAACAGCACTTGGATTGAATTACCTGGAAATGGACAACAACTGTGGAAGTTCAGTCTTTATTCATCTAGACCAGGTCCATATCTTCATGTTCTACAAACTTCGCTAGTGGATGCACAAATAATTAACTATGCTTGAAGTGGATAGTTCAGATCAGTAGTGTCTGGGCCTATTAACATATCAGTATTTAAGATTATGCCTAATTAGGCAAACGTGGAGCAAATCAAATTACATATTTATTTATTTATTTTTTAAAAAGCTGAAAAAAATATATACACTAAACAGGTACTTAATTTTTTCTAAACCAAGTCATACACACTATAAAAAAGTCCAACATTTTAATATAGCTGGCAGCACAAAACATCAGATATGCCTTACTTTCAAAAAACACATTTGTTTTAAAAGAGACTATATTTCTAGTGAAGAGAATAGGTAGAAATATCTAAATGGAAGCCACCAAGTATTACTAACCCAACAGTGCTCCAGTGAATTCCTATAAAATGGTCAATTTGTGGCTTCATGTTGCCTTTGTGACATTTACATAATGTGACAATGATCACAGCTGCAAAGAAAGCCTAGCTACCTTTCCCGTAATAGTTTCAATAGGTTCTGAACATGCCTTGACATTTTCAATTACATCTCATTGTATACTATACTAAAAATACAAACTGTGTTGCTGACCAATATTTGAACTTACAGCATTCTTGAAGTAATTAAATCTAGCAAATCAAAGTTTTTGTGCCTGGTAACATCAGAACTAAAGTTTAGTGAGCCATTATTTTTAATCTGACATTTTAATCTTTAAAAAGGATAGCTTTTGGTGCTGAGCCTGACTGTCATGGTGGAGAGACGAGTCCTCTCTTATCCTGGCATAAAACGCATTATACACCCTTATCTAGCTCGATTTGGGACTAATCCAGTTTCAGCCCCCTCACTTGTTCCTCTCAATATAGTTTATGTGGGAGAGCTATATGTTTTATTATTTTTCACATGTGCATCCTGATGTTCCTTCTGTTTTGCCTTGACTATAATTTTCTTATTTTGTTTATTGTCATATTGTATTTGTAGGGCATTCATTTTTAGCCTGTTTGGGGGCTTCCTTTTATTTTATGTCAAATTCGCAGCCCTCAATTGACGTTTTTGCGGCCCGGTGAGCCGCAAGTACATGCTTAGTGTTAACGCAGAGCAGACACCTGCTTTCTCCACGTTGCAGGTGCCTACTCTGCTAAAATTTACCCGGCCGGCAGGAGAGGTCACTGGAGGAGCTCAGTCTTCCTGCTCCTCACTGCACACGCCGTCTGTAGTGATGCTGGAATAAGACGTTATATTCCAGCACCTGGCATCACTAAACTGCGAGCGCGAGGGAGCAGCGCGCAGCAGGAAGGAGATCTCCAGATAGAAGATCCCCACTGGACCCCAGGAATAAATACAATGATGTGAGTTTCTGTCAGTGAGTATGTGTATGTGAGTGTGTCTGTCAGTGAGTGTGTGTGAGTGTGTGTCAGTGAGTGAGTGAGGGAGTGTGTGTATCTGAGTGTCTGAGTGTGAGTGTGTCAGTGTTTTTTGCGGCCCACATAAACTTAAACCTCGTTTATTTGGCCTGTGCTAGACTTTGAGTTTGACATGCTTGCTCTATAAAGATCACTCAGCGCATATAGTCTGCTCACTTAACACTGACATTCTACTAACCATTGTGCTCTTCATATCCTTTTTATTTCTTTTACACAAAAAAGTCCTAATTTCTATGTACACTTACCCTGATACAACAGGAAAATTTCATTGCAGACTTTCCAGTGTCTATTACATTATCTTTGATATTAACATGCATATCCAAAATAAAGAATTTAAAAATAAATAAATAAAAAAGGAGAGCTTTTATCTACATATAGCTAGTAATTTAACTGTACAGCCTTTTGCAAGAAGTAAATTATGACTTCCTTGAGATAGCTTGCCAATGATAAATTGCTGTTTTGGACCAGTTACTTCCACCAAAGTTTTACAGAATGGAGTTCTTAAATTAACGTTGTCTGAATACACTGAACATTTCCAAAACACGCAAATGTAAGACACTCTATGCAGGACCATTTAAAGGGCCACTCTTAGCTTTAAACCACTACAGCTCACGAATATGTTGCTATGAGTTGTTAGGTGCTATTCTGAATCTGTCAAACCATTTTGGAGTAAGAAGACAAACACGTGGGGTTCTCTCCTGCGCCCAATTCTCCCATCTTCTGCAGTCAACACAGGCAATGAGAAAGGTTAACTTACATATTATCAATTCTAAGCTATCCAACTTAGACAACAAATACAGTCTGCAAGCAAGTTAGCCCAGTACTTTCAGCCTATCTCAGGTTTCACAGCTTTAGTCAGATAATATTTAAAGTAATTTTCCACATTACTCAAGAATCTGCGAAACAGACAGGCTTCTGGAGCTAGAGAGATCTATATTTTCTGTCAGACCGTTTCATTGCATTATACATTTTTTTTATTTTTTTTTAAATTTCAATGTATTAAGTTTTTCAAAAGAAGGATTTCACCCAAATACATAGCACCATAACTACTACTGTGAGTTATAGTGTTTGTGGTTCTTAGAGTTCCCCTTTAAGGAATGCATTTTTACAATTTAAGTATATCTGCCTATATTTGCCACCTCACTCTGACTCGGGTTTTAGCGAAAACATTCTTTCATATTACAATTTTATACTAAGTCAACTTGCCCTAACAAGTGAAAAAAGCACAGAAGCTACATAGTTATTTATGAGATTTTTCTCAATAAACTGTGCATTAAAACAAGCCTATGATTTGCCTGATATTTGGTGTCACTCCTCACTGTAATTTAGCCCAAGATACAAAATATATGTATGAACTAAAAGTGAACTGCATCATCCTTGGAAGCACCACTGCTGAGAAATACATGTTTTGGGTGTGCCCCCAATTCCCTTTTAATATTTTCTATCATGTCTCATGGCTCTTTTTTTAGGAGCTCAAAGTGTTCAGTGTGTGATATAAGAAAGCTTACCTACATTACTGTGCCTTCAAACAACCAGAAAGGTGTCTAGAAATTGGTCTGTTTACCCTTACCTCATGTGCCACTTTACACCACCCACTCTAGAATGTAAGCTCCTTTGAGCAGGGCTCTCAATATGTTGCTGTGCCTCCAGCTCATCTTGTTGCAATTATGGGTCTTTTAGTTGTTATATTTATACAGCGCCAACAAATTCTGTAGCGCTTTACAATGGGATGTTAGTTCACCTATTGTACAGCGCTACAGAATTTGTTGGTGCTTTATCAGTAATAATAATAATAATAATAATAATAATAATAATAATAATACAAAAATACTTGAATTGTCTTCTAAAAGGACTTTTGAAGTTTCATAAATGGGTGACAAGAGGTTATGAAGTTACTACTTATGTCCTGGAATAGTACTGTCCATGGTCACTCATTCTAACCACAAGCCCTTACTGTAAACTCTTCATCTCTTGATTTATATTGCACATAGATAGAGCAGACACATGTACAAACAATAGCTAGCAGTGATAAATTAGTTTGTAAAACTCCCACTGTGTAAGAAAGAGGTTTTACAATCAAACATACTCTATTACATGATGGGGAAGTACCATCTGTAACAGATATAGTTAGAAATAATTATATATACACACACACACACACACACACACACACACACACACACACATATATATACACACACACATTTTGACCAAAAATCACTAACAGCAATGGTTCTTTGGGACCATTTTTAAATTGTATTAAAGGGACTACCAAGATATGTCTGCAAAATGATAAAATACATCTTTGAATAGTCTAAACCTTGTAGTAAAAAACACCTGTTTTCTTACTGCTAGTTTACGTATTGTACGTAGGATTGAGCACCTTATCCATTTGAGCTGATTGGCAATATTTGTTATATTGTTTCTGAGTTGGAATAACGTGTCATTTGATCAAATTCTATCCTATAGCTTGTAGGAACACTATGGGCACCATAACAACTTAATCAGATTGAACTGGTTTATGGAGCAAAGACATCCATTGCCTTCAAATGGTTTACTTTGTCTTGAAAACATTTTTTTTGTCTATCACATGTGAGAATTAAAATATAATTTAAAAAAAAAAAAAAAAATTGGTGTACTACAAAGTATCCAGGTGGAAGAGTATGTTGAGAATGCTTGCAACTTTAAGTGCCAGACAAGTATGATAATGTAACTAGACAGACAGCGATGCTATAGTAAAAAAAAAAAAAAAAAGGATTGCTCAGACAAGAACACAAGCCCATAATTTCCAACAGGGTTTACATTCATTCAACTGCCAAAGAAAAAGTTACATATTGTTAGAAAATTGTGGTTTCCATAGATACTTTGTTTCCTGGCATGAGGCAAATAATTTCTTAAAATAAAACTTTAAATTCACTAGTTGAATTAGCAATATCCGCATGTTGCATTTACTGTTTATAATGGCAATCTAATTTAACTAAAACTAGGTTTCGTAATATACTGCAATTAGTTGCATCACTACAACATTTATTTTAATTATTTTTAAAAGTATTTATTGTATATTTAAATTTGTCTAAACTGTAGTAGGGGCATGAGATGCATGTCAAGTTATGGATACCTAGTAGTTAAAATTGTAAAGGCATTACATTTTATTTTTCATGCATTCATTCACCATTGCGAACATATTGCTGGGATAAAAACTTTTAGAGATTATATGACATACGTTATCTTTTAATGTTTCAAACAGGAACACAAACCGAATCAAAACTAAAATGTTTGCTGTATACATCAAGTACAACGATAGATGGTTAAAAAAAGAAAAGAAAAAAAAAATGGCTTATGGCTATATATAGGTAACCTGACCATATTTCTAGAAGACTTTCTAAAACCAAGTGCATGTATTATAGAGATTGTGGAAAGTTACCATTTTAACCAACAAAAAAATCCCTGTAATGTAATTGGATCTGTTTGGAGCCATTACTCCCCTTTCCTTGGTACCTGGAATGCAGTCTTGAAGTTTGCCCTATAAAAGGTTACTTTACATTAAGGAAGGAGAGGAAACTCGCTTATAGTCCATCTACAAAGAATCAAAAGGACAGAATGGAGCCAAAAAGATCCAGTAGCGCAGGATAAAAATTAGTGCTGAAGCAAACCAACAAATCCTAATAGTGCACATTAACTTGTTATCACTGATCGGTATAACCACGTATTTACAATAAACAATAAAAGGATAAACTAACAACTGTATTATTAAAGTTAAATCAATATGGGAGCATAGAATGGATAAAGTCTATGGTTTGTCCCAAAATACACAGATATAGCTGTGACCAAATATGGAGCTTCAAATTACTAAATAAAAGATTACATTTGTAGAAGGTCTTCTAGATCCTTTCATTCTGTCTATGGTGTGTAATAACTGCACCACTGCCAAGACTTTAAAAACTGTGTAAATAAGCCAAGGTCCCCTACTGCTACCTACATATTAAGTTCTCCCTAACCCAATTATATGGATACATTTGTAACCAAATAATAAAATACCTTAACAACATGTAAAAAGCAAAGTAAACTAGTTAGTGGAGATATTCTGTGGGACTATGTTGCAAAAAAGCAAGAAAAATAAAAGTTCAGTGTGCAGGGCTCCGGCTGCAGTATCTCAAAAGTATCTCAGCTCTTAAATGGTCACTGCAGACCCATAAACAACTTCAGCTTGCTGAAAAGCTTTATGTGCAAAGAGTGTGTCCTTTTTTTTTTTTCTCTCTCATTTTCCAAAAAGTGCAGATTTCAATAGACAATTACACCCCCTTGGCTTTCAAGCAGACAGCAGGTAATGTTACTTCCTGGTTTAGTTCGCTTAGTGGGGCTATACTCAAGAGGCAGCAATTGCCAAGAGCACCTGCATTACTTTGAGTTGGAACTGTGATTGCACAGTCACAAAAAGTCTGGGCGTGATGAGAAGGGGAGAGCTTGCAAAGGCAGCAGACAAGAGATCTTCAGTTTTTGCGAACTGTTTTTCAGTATATCCCCAATGAAATAATACATAATTAAATGCATGCAAGTTTTCATTTGTGGTATATCTACTAGGGATGTACCCAAATTTCAGCTGCCGAAATTTTCGGCTGAAAATGGGCCTATCCCATTTCAGCCGAAAATGGGTAAAATCTTCTGAAAATTTCACCCCTTTCCCTTATGAGGGGGCACAATGCCCGGTTATTAGCCAGCAGTATGAGAGGGCACAATTTCCAAGTACCAGAAGTGTGTGAGATCACAATACACGGGGGAGGAATGAGAGGCAGGTTTATACCATGAGCTGCTGTCCCCGTGCTGTTACTCCTATAGATCAGGGAAGGAATGATCATGTTAAATAGGTGGGACAGGTCGGGGGGGACCATGAACCAGGGGGAGGAAGCATTAAATGGCTGTCAGCGCTCAGCCTCCTCCCGTCTCCATGGTAATAAGCCACGTAGCCAAGGACGGGTCACTTCCGCTGAAGTCAGCAGACAAGTGGATCCAAGATGGCCGCAGCTTTTGCAGTGTCTCTCGCAGCCCATGGCCGGCCCAGAGGGTGTGCTGATCTGTACAGCGGGAGTGTGGGAGAGTACGGGGCTGACGGGATAAATATAACACTACATGGCATCATACACTGTGTAATATATAGTGTAAAAAAAAAAAGAAGAAAAAAAAGGTCATTTTCGGTTTTCGGCCCAGAATTTTCATTTTGGTGCATCCCTAATATCCACTAAACTGTGTGTTTTGTATTTGGGCAGTGAAGTATCCCTTTAATCATTTTGTGGACAACAGTATCAAAATAATCCAATGCTGTATTTCTAACGTTCTAGTGTCCCTACTGTCCTAAATCTATATAGGCTCTCCCTTTTGCAGAAAGAAAAATAAATACAAGTTTTACTTACCTTTTTCTCCCTCTCCCGCCATAGTCCAATCCTATGCTCTTCATATACTAAATGCACACATTTATGCTTCCCTAATAGGAAAGAACTGAAAATATGCATTCCTATGGGGGCGTCTCCATCATCATGATGGTAGTACCTCTAGTGGCTGTCAATATAACAGCCACTAGAGGTGGACTTAAAGCAGCACTGTCTCTCCTGCCACCCCTCCCTTCAGCCCCCCCAAAAATTAGTATTTCATAAAGATAGAAGTTTTATGAAGTACTTATTTTGACTGTATTGTAAGTTCACATTGATTTTAACCTAGACAAAAGATATACTGAGACAAAGTAGGGACTACTTTGTCTCTATATATATCCCCTGCCTAACCCTTCTAGACAATGGGTGGAGCTATTGCCATCTATAAAAGTGTCAAACCCATCCCCCCCCAGCCGTTGTCAGTGACGGCTGCAGGGAATTTGCTCGGTCTATGGAAGATCCCGCTGTCTTGTGGGATCCTACCTAGATCTTAATGCTGTATTCTCTCAGCAAGCATTAGAGTACAGCAGTGACATCGGCGAATGGAAGAAAACCCACCAGAAGAAGATGGCAGCGCCCATGAGGGGCTGGTCCAGGTAAGTAGAAATTGCCTTTACCCCATCCAAGGCCACTGCATCCCCAGCACCGATGTCATTGTCAGGTATATTTGCAAATTCTGCTTTAACCCTGCAATTCTGATTTAACTTTGCAGTTTAAAAAAAAAAAAAGTGACCATAGCGTTACTTTGTTATATTATAACATCTAGACCCCAAAATGTGCTATTCCTGTATCTTGTTCCATTTCAGTAAACTATTGATGTTCTTTTTTAACCCCTTAAGGACACATGACATGTGTGACATGTCACGATTCCCCTTTCTTCCAGAAGTTTGATCCTTAAGAGGTTAAAAAAAAAAAAAAAAAAAACCTATCACAGGCATCCAAACAAAATTCTGAGTCAAATAGGTTTATAGAAGCTGAACAGCAGAAAAATAAGTGTGTCATTGAGCACTCTCTGCCACATGCCAGATCTTGTAATGGCACGTAGTCCATGCCAAGAAGCTCTGAAATGTAAACACCAGGCAGGCAATGCAGCCAATTCCCTTCAAATAAATAAACACTTCATCTTGAAATTATATTAAACCCCCGAGCGGAGTAGTTGAAAAGCATTACTGTAGCAGACCAAGCTTTGCTAATAGAACTTCTGTACAAAAGGTGCAAACTTTATAATACGGAGAAAATAAATATTTGACATACAGGTGTGAACAAACACCTTCTGTGGTCCCAAATTGAAACAAAAAAAAGTTTGGATGTCAGCATGTGTAGCCAAACACATTGCTGTACAAATTTGGTGATGCCGTAACTCCC